TTTTACAGAGATTGATAACTGTTCGGTGATACATCTTGAATATGTTGCGTGCTCCTGGGGTAACCAGCGCCCCCCAACTGTCAATTACACATTTAGCAGCAGGTTTGTTGAATTTCCGCAACAACAGTTTCCTTAATTTTTTCCAAGTCAATAAATCAAATTATTTGAAGGAGGCTTTTTTTTTTATTTTGATTACATATGTAAATATTTAATTTTAATACAATTCGGCCTGTTAAAATCTCTGTCATTTTTCTATACATTGTTCTATTGAGTCCTGTTCTTTGCCTTTTTTTTTCAAGCCAGCAAAGCCAGTGTAGAGAACCTGAAACTCATTCTCCACAACAGGGCAATTAACTAATTACTTAAGACTCCAATTTTATTTGTGGTTTTAAGACAGTGGCCCAGAACCTGCCCTCCGTCCTACCCTTTCTCCACGGCTGCCCCACCGAGCAAGGCGATCCTGCTCCAGCACCCTGGTGTTTTATTTAGAAGAACAAATATTTTTAGTTAAATCTTCACTGAGACAAACCTTCACTTGTGCACAGGTTCAGTGATGAGACTTTCGCAAAGTGCACCACTTATGTGTTAGAGAACGGCATCACCACCGGATGTAACCAGTCCTACAATAAACTGCACACCAGGAGGTTCGACACGTTTGAGACCAGACTGACCCACGGCAACAATACCTTTGAGAAGAAGTTCACTCTGAAAGAGAAAGGTATTTTTTTAAAGGACATGGTTAATATATATGGGGGAAAAACCCAGGCCAATTTGGATTCTGTTAAACGGGGCATTTTGTCTGTTATGCCAGAGGCTTAGAGTTGAAGGTAATGAGGAAAGGTAGTAGGTAGAAGGAAATCAAATTAATTGTAGAATAAAGAAGGATACTAAAAAAAAAGGTAATTTCTTACTATGTTGTGGTTTCTGTGTTTTTTTTTCACCCCAGTCTTGTTAAACCCCCCCACCAACATCACTGTCCAAAATGGATCTGACTTCAACCTGTACTTTTACTGGAACCAGACATTTACAGAATGTGTGGAGAGTGAGGTTCGATTCCGAGCCAACAGCAAGAAATGGGAGGTGAGCGAACTCAACGCAGAAGATGGTCATCACGGTCTCGTCTTTTGTGGCTTCTGTCTCAGTTCATACACTTCTCCATCTTATGTTGTTTCTTTCACAGACGTCTACAGTCAGTTTTGGGAAACAGAGCTACATCATCAACTTACCTTCCAGCAGATCTCGTTATGAGCTACAAGTGCGTAGCCGAGTGCATAAGGTGTGCGGAGAATCCTTCCGTTGGAGTGACTGGAGTAGGCCTGCGGTCTGGGGATCCAACAACAGCACAGGTGAAATAAACACCCTGCAAGTAGTCGAAAAGATGAAGAATCACTGGCAACCAATAAAAATAAACCTCTACATGTATGAAATGTAAAATAAATAAGAGCTTTATAAAATACAGCTGAACATTGGCTAATGGTTGGAATGCGGTATTGAGCATAAAAATCTACGATTCTTGAGTCTTGGTTTAAATAAGAACAACAGTTAAAGTGTCAGAAATTTTGACCTCAGAATAGAATAGCATTAACGTAAATTGCTTGTTACCCCATTTCAAATTGAATTTGGTTGCCTTTTTTGCAGGGCAGACATGTTTGTTTTAGTTGTGTTACAGAATGAAAAAGAAAAATATGAAAATGCAATTCGGATGATTTTTAATTTATTTATGAGTCAAAAAATGCACGTATATTCTGAAAATGAAAACGCATTTCTGCTAATGATTTGATGTATGGTACTGATTGCCTTTCTTTCCATAAAAGTTAACTAATGGCTCTCTCTCTCTCTTTCTCTTTTGCTGCCTCACCCACTCTCTGTCTTTCTCTCCGTCTTCACCGACCCACCTCACATTCAGACCCCAAAGCTGGAGATCCTTCCATGTCTGTGTTGACACCCCTGTTTTACAGTCTGGGGGCTTTCGTCTTTGTGCTACTGCTGGCAATGCTTCTGTACCATGAAAGGTGAGGCTTTGTACTAGGTGCTTGTTTCTCTCTCTCTGTTTTACGAACTGGGTTTGGAAGATTTTGTAGATGTGTATATTATTGATGTAGTTAAACAGATAAAATAAATAAAAACACATTAGGGTTAGTACACTTTTGTTATTATTAACACATTTTTTATCCTTTGTTTAAGACTTAAATGACATAGTTTGTGGCTATAAAATGATGTAGTTAAACTCTTGTTCAAATGAGAGACTAACAGAGAATCACATCTGTGAATTTGTTCATACAGGGTCCGAATCATCCCAATCTCTGTGGTTCCAAAACCGTCCCTGGTTCTTTATGACATTGAGGTAAGCAGCATCCAACAGCCCTGCCTTTACCCCAATACTGGAACTCTCTGGTTGGAGAAGACTTAGTATTTAAAATTGTGTTCTAATTTGTCAGGACCTAACACTTATATTTACATATTATAATTATAGTTGATTGGGACATAAATATTCAACACTCAATAATAAAAATAATACATTTTATACTATCATCTGCACAGTAAAGAAAAACAAGTTCCCTGTACATATAAAAATGTATCCTCTAGCCTTCGCAAAAAATAACAATTTAAGTCACAGATGTATAGATAAAAAATTTAAATAATAAACAAACACATTGTGAATCTCTCTGGAAATGCCTCCAGCTCATATACTTGTCTTCTGCACATTGTCTCCAAACAACTCATCACAGCAGATCTCACTGTCATTTTAGAACTTAACTTAACACTAACCTAACACTGTTATCTTTCAGTCACACACCACCCCTGGATGCACCTCCACCCTGATCCTGTGATTAGCAGCAGCAGCTTGTCAGACAATGATTTAGTAAAACAAGTAAAGTGTTTTTTGTTTTTTTGCTCTTGTTCTTTAAAGGATTGGCTTCAGTTATCCAAGGGCCTCAAGGGAAACTTTAAAACCAACTACACTGAGCGCACGTGCACCGTTCGCGAATACTGTCAGGTGTCCCAGTCTCAAGACGACGACTCTGTCTCCTCCTCGGTCACCACCGACCAAACCGACTGCTCTGTCACCGTCCCTGAGGACAACTGTGAGGACCAGACTGCCTCCAGATCATCCTCCGCTTCTACAATTGTTTTCCAGTCCGAGGAAAAAGATCAGCTCTCAGATTAGAAACCCTCTCATCCCGGGAGGGGATGTACAATCTTATGTTGACAAACATCTTCTGCTAGGTGACACACACACAATCCAATCCAAGACAGTCCAGGAGTAAAGTAATGTAGATTTTGATACACACAAAATCTATTTTTTTGTTTTTAAAAAATCTATTTTTTACACAAAATCTATTTATTTCCATGCAGTACCTTTTATAGTTAGATTATAGTTAGTTAGATCATCGGGGCAGTGGTTTAGGAAGCGGACTTGGGTGTCATAGCACTGTCCCCACACACTGCTGACTTTGGTGATGGGTTAAAAGCAGAGATCACATTTCATTGTGTGCAGTGGTGAGCTGTATCACAATGAACGAAGTAGTTCACTTTACTTCGCTTCCCTTTCCTAGATGTTTTTTTTTATTATTGCCTTATTTTCGATATTTTGACTTTTTGCATTTTTATAGATTATTTCATGCATATATCCTATCCTTTGAAAACCAAATACATAAACAGTAAAATTTACTCTCCAATCCTTGAATTTGTAATTAAGTTACAGATTGCAGACCCAGAAGCTTGTATCTGGTCTGTTCGGGCCTTAACGCATCAGTTTATTGCACTCAATTCACGGACCAGGTCATCAAACTGTGTTAATAGCACCCTCTATAGAAATGGGCAGAGAAGCTACTCGTGTTTACAAACGCTTATACTAATACACGCATACTCTTACGTTTATATCATGCATAGTATACAACACTCCGATAGGGGGCGCACAGAGTGTCCCAGTCAGTCCCACTGACTGCACGAATCTGAGTCAACGCATTTTTTCAGATTCCAGAAGGGTAGGGCGCAGGGCGGCTGGCCCCGGCTGCAACACACAACATTCGAGTCAGCTACTTCCTTAGCTGAACCGATCGGCTACCAACAACCGGTTGATGCCTTCTTCCGATGGGATTTCAAATTAAACAGTGCATTTAGCTGCTTTGACGCCGTTTAATTCGCCGTTGGTCGTCCAAAGAGTGTAAGCAACCTGACAACATGACAGATTCCGCGGTGGCCGACACTCGCCGGTTGAATTCCAAGCCCCAGGACCTCACGGATGCTTACGGTCCTCCCAGCAATTTCTTGGAGATAGACGTCCACGAGCCACAAATTGTCGGAGTTGGGCGGAACCGTTACACAACTTACGGAGTTCGAATGAGGGTATGTGTCGGTTCCGTTAGCTTTGCGCAGGCTTTAGACCCTTGCCGCTAGGCTAACTGGTAATTACACTGTTGTTGCGAATATTGTTAGCATGTTAGCTCTGATGTCAACACAGGGGGGACGAGCTGTGACGCTGACCCGCAGTGGCGAGGGGCGAACAAGGTGGGGTGAGGTTCGAACTCTAGTGCCGGGGATTCTCTGCGGCCTGTTGTGAGAATTTTAAATGTCGCGTTAACGGGAAAGCTAGCATGTTTATTTAGCATGCACATAGTACTGGTTAGTCACGGGACAGTATATGGACTTCCTGCTAGCACAATCTTAACTGGAGTAAATAATATTCCTACATTATTACAGTATTTGTAAGACTCGTTAAAATCTCAAGCTAACGTGTGTGCTAGTTGACATCTTGCATATTTGTTTCTTTTTGTGTTGGAGATTTATTATTATTATTATTAAAATTAGTCAGTACTAGTCTAATAGGACCAACTTGGTAATGTGTCCCCTTTTAGTAAACTACCTCTAATGTTGATTAAAATAATCTAAATGTTCTAAAAAATATAATGGGCTAGAAATAGCCAACAGTTAGAAAATGATACAATTTGGTTTCAAGTAATCCACAAAGGTTTGCCAACAGGTAGAAAATGACTAAAACATTCATTTATGTCAGTCCAAACAATTATATCCCAAAAGTATTCTTCTTGGATGGAGTTGGCTTAAAACCTAATGTAGCAAAATGTGTGCTGTTTTAAACATTTCCTAATAATTAGCACACAGCGCAGAGTTTAGTTTTTTAGCTTGGACTACGTAAAAGTATTTTTCACTTCCTTCTGTAGCTTGTAAAAGAGTAACATTGATGAAAATCACTGACTCAGCAAACTCCAGACATTTTACAGAAGCTGTTGCAGAAGACTGAGATTGCTTAAATGCAACATAGTCACTTTTGTCCAGACTACACACTGGTTTATGTTGAATTGCACTTGGACAGTCCACTGTATTATAAAAAAAACACCTTTGTCCCTTTAGCACGATGTTCTCAGATACACTAGGTGTAGGCAATGTGTTAGGATAGTTCTTTTCACATTTTAGCTGTGCTGTGGCATACATATTTATGTATATAAATGATGAACCATTTACATGAAATGGAAATGTAGAAATTTCAGTGGTGATAAGAGACACTTGTCCAGAGTATAGCGTATATGTCACTTCCTTTATAATCAAGTTAAAGGTTTGTTATGTTGTGTCGTTTTTCTTTTCTTTTCTGGTCCACATAGACAAACCTTCCCATTTTCAAACTGAAGGATTCCTGCGTGAGAAGAAGATACAGTGACTTTGAGTGGTTAAAGAACGAGCTGGAGAGAGACAGTAAGGTGGGTGACTGACTGAGTGCTGGTTCACTGCCGTTGTTATTTAAACAGACTGTCAGATGGAAAGTTAAAATGTGATTAAAATGATTGATGTCAGACCAACAGGTGGAGAAACATAATCATCTTCCACTCAATCGATAGGTTTCATCTTCAAAACGTAATTTAGAAAATGAAATGGCGTTTTTGTACTGACATTAACTGGAAACTGTAGGCAAATGTTTGACTGTCATTGTTGGGGACTTTTGACACCTTCAGATTGTAGTACCACCTCTGCCGGGAAAAGCCCTGAAGAGGCAGTTGCCGTTCCGTGGAGATGAGGGACTATTCGATGAGAACTTCATAGAGCAGCGGCGAGTGGGCCTGGAACAGTTCATCAACAGGTGAGTCGGTGTAAACAACCTGAATATCTGCACATACGTTTATATATTTATTGTAGAAATAGGTTAGTTGTTAAATTTTGCACAATGTGTTTTTAAATTTTTAATGATGTAAACCAAAACAAGGCACAGTATACACACACACACACACACACGAGTCCTTATGCTTACTTGACTGTTTGATTTGACTGTTCTAGTTTTATTCTTTTAGTCTCCTGTATGTTTTTATGGTGCTGCACGGCTGCTGCAGCCTTAATTAGAACTCGCGAGGGATTAGTAAAGTTCCATCTATCTGATCATCGTTTTCACCAATTGTCCACAGAGATAAATGAGCAGCGAGTGTCTGTGTATTGTATTGTATTGTATTGTGTTGTGTGTGTGTGTGTCTGCAGAATTGCAGGTCACCCACTGGCCCAGAACGAGCGCTGTCTTCACATGTTCCTGCAGGATGAGAGCATCGACCGTAACTACATTCCTGGAAAAGTACGACACTAGGGTTTAAACTGAGAGATTGGGGCATCTGTGTGTGCATGTGTGTGTGTGCGTGGGTGGGGGTGACAGCAAAAAAAACACTGAGGGTCGTAAGAATGAACTGGCTCCCTTTTCTCTCCCCCAACACAGTTCCCTCTAACTTCCTTCCTGCTCCTCTCTCTATACCAGTGGTTCCCAAACCTTACATGCAGCGCCATCCTTTTATAGGCCGAACCTTTGGTCTCCCCCGCCACTGGCAGCTTTGACGTCAATACTGCACTGTGGTTTATTTAAAACACTTATTTACACAAAATTACTATTTGTAATAAATTAAACAAAATAAAAGTTCCAAATCAAAAGTTTCATTTGGTTTTGTGTTGAACATTAGAAAACACAGTTTGAGGAATCTGGCCTTCATCCTGATTAGTGTCACGTTATTGTAATATAATGTCCATAAAGTAGAGCAACATCTATTTGTGTGTGTGTGTGTGTGAGTGAGTGAGTGAGTGAGTGTGTTGGCGATGATGATGTCCCATAGTCATGCATGTATACTGTTAATGACGTTTCTGATCCTGTTTTGTTCTCTTTTTTTTTTAGGTATGAATGAAGTAAGTTCGTCTTGTTTTTTATATATATATACTGTCTATTAGAGCTTTAAGGTAATTAAAGGCACAGTTTGGGTTTTTTCAAGTGTGGTCGTTTGAGAGAATGACACATGTTCACGACTGAGGCCAGGAACCAGACACAAGGGAAAAAAAACATACCTTGACAGAACAACAGTATGTGATACATCAAGAAGTAGCCGTTAAACAATATTTTACTCTTGTGTAGAAAAATCCTTAGTCTACTTTACTGACACAAACTTACCATATGAGGGAGCAGTGGAGCAGCAGCTCCAAAGACCCTTTGTGCTTAAATTGGTCATTTACCTTTTTGATGTTTGGTGCATGGGATTAAGTTGACTCTAAGCTTGTTAAAAAAAAAAAAAAAAAAAAAGGACCTAGACTCAGCTTTGACTCACAGAACCACACTTTTAAAACCGTAACTATGCCTTTATAAATAGCTGCATGGGCACTGTGTGGAGAGCGATAGTTTACTGCTATACTAATGCTAAAATCATCAGCACGTCACATGATGCCAATCCATCTTTCCTGCAGAACACAAACAGAACACACTTTATGGTGATGAAATAACCGTGTGAGGCAGTAGATTCTGCACATCTATTTATTGTTTAATTTAAGATGCATTCAGATGTGGAAAAATATGTTAGTCATTTTCCCTCTCGACCCAAACTGGCACTAACTTTAACATCAATCAGCTGCAGTGCATAATGTGAACTATTGTTTCGTAGGCTTTGTCGCAGTACATCACCCATTTTTGCAGCTTTTTGTCTTTTTATTTTCTGCTTCACTCGTCGTCCGCCGCCTGCATGGACAACTTGCACGCTTTCTCTGCAGAAAATAAACAGCTACATGCTGGTTTTGCTGAGTAATTATTCAACGCTAGTCTGCTTCTAACACTACGTAAACAACATTTCCTCCCATTTGCTACAGTTATGGGTCTGATGAAGAACATCAGTTTAAAGCTGCGTCTTTTATTTTCGTTTTATGACATGTACGTGGCGCATGTTTCTTAATGGTGGCCTGATGCACTGCAGCTTCGCTTGAAGTGCTGCATGCAGTCCTGTATACTTTGTGTACGTTATATTGATGTGTACTTACATGGACTGTGTGTTCTGGTTTTGTAAACAGCTAGATAGAAGTCTGACAGACAGGTTTTTCCCGAAATTCTTTCGATAATCAACATGCGTTTGGTCTTTACCAAAATTGTTATGTCTGTAGTGCAGCAGGATGACAATTTTCTTAAATGGAGATCCCATTTAGAGCAAAACAGTAACCCAACTGAATGATACCAGCTGTCAGGGGCTGAGAATAGTGACCATTAAATTCCAAAATGTCAGTTGTTTTACCTCTCATCCAAGAGGCTTCTTCAGTTCTGTTTAGCCCAGTTGCCCTCTTCTTAACTGTGTCATACATATATATATTTATATATATATATATATATATATTAACGACCTTGGTGACTGAGGACTTAATGAGACATGTCAGGATGTTCTGGTTCGACTAATTCTATTAAACAGAGTCATTCCTTGTTGAATATTCCATCTTCACTTTTACAAATTCTGTTGTTGCCTCACAGTCACACCAACAGACTGTATTAGAATTGATCCCAGATCATTAGCTTAGTCTCGGTACAAACATCAAGGACTGGGAATGGTTTAGAAGAAAGTTTGAGGTGATCAGACGTCACTGTTGACAAGTAACAGGTAGGAACTGATGACTCAAAAGCATGGTCGGTTTTTCACGATCTGTGTGCGGCTCAGTTAACACGTCTGCATGCTGTTAGTCATACTAAGAATTAGAATACTAAGACCTACATACTAAGAATTAGAGTCATACTAAAAAGGTTCATTACCGTTTACCAGAAATGATCTCAAACTGAGGTGTTGTTTAATATTACCGTGAACACTAATTTACAACATATTTGTCTGTCACGAAAAAAAAATAATTTAAAAACTTAAATTGACAAAAATAGCGTTCCAGGTTGAATTGTCCAAATGACCAATTTCATTTAAATACCATTCTTAAGTGTTTACCCAAATATATCCTCTGAACTGAAGAAGATCAGATAAAAAGATAGATGTCAGAGGTGGATTTTTTTTTTTTAAAGAGAGGTTTTAAAAATAAATACGTTTCAAATCTTTAGACATCATGTTTTCAGATTTTTATTGCACGTCATAGAAACATGCTGAAAAAAAAAAACCTGAACTAACCGTTTAACATAATTTTTTTTTCATATTGTCTGTTTCTTTTTCTCTTTTTCTCACAAAGACAATACAGGCTGCTGCTCCTGAACCAAGTACTTATATTTCTACATCACGTCACTAAAAACCTGGTGGAAACGTCAGAACTGAGCAGAATCAACAGTGTAGGAAAAGAAATACGGCAACCTATCCTGGACAAAATTAAACCATTGGCAACATTTGAAACATTTAACAATGATTACTTCAGCCATTCCACATATTTTTTGTGCATTATTTTTGATCATGTAATCCAGAAGTCATTGTATCACAGCTATTTTTTTTTTTTTTTTACAATGACGTTTATGGTTTAAGTTTTTCAACATCTGATTTTAATCTTCCCTGCTTTGACATTAGATTTTCGATTAAAAGCTCCCAAAGTGAAGCAACATGTAGCATCCTGAGAAAAGACAGTTCCATACGTTGCATTTTCTCCTGTTTCCATCCTGGACTTGTTCTACATCGTTTTCACCCCCTCACTGCATCACCCCCCGCCCTCCCCCACATACTTGGTTGTTCTTTGTCAGATCAGCTGTCCAGAATGTTACATGGAGATATAATAAACAGAGTATAAGCACTGTGAACAGTATTTCATGGTTTAAAGGCATACTCCATGACTCGCACTAAGGATTACTCTGTGCTTGTTTTCAGCTGTTCAATGCTTCTTTTGTTTTTTGTTTTTTGCTTCGTTTTTTTAATCTATATCATATTTTGTGAACTATTATACATGTTACCACTGAAGTTCTGCTGTGGGCCACAGAGGAAGCCCCTGGTCACTCCTGTCCTCAGATTAAAGTCCCTGCTGCCTGTTGAGTCGTGTTTAAATGCCTCTTTTTCTTAGTTTATAAAATGAGACGATTCAGATGGAGGTCGTTTGTGAAAATTGGATGAGGGACTCTGAAGCGGCTCCGTTCTCCGTGAACAGTGTGAACCTACAAACCTAAATATTACACCTACTCCAACAGTACAATTACAAGTGAGGGTCTGTTGCATTGATGTGGGAAGAACGCAGGTGTGTCCTGCAAAATAAAGCATAGACGTATTTCGTTGGTCTGTCTGTGGTGCTTTGTTCGTCTACAGCAGCCCTGCCCTCTCTGTGCATTTTCTCTTTTCCACTTCTCCTTCAAGTGGTCGTGACATGTCGTAACAAGGTTGATCATCAGTGAAGTCATAGACCGATTTGGTCTGTGTAAAATGTGAGAAGGCTCCAGTCAAACAAAGAAGAAGAAGAGGAGTCGTGGATGGAAAGATGTTTTACAACTAGACTTCTGTATGTTTTGTTTTTGTTTTATGTATCAAAGTAAGAGTACGACCGTTTTCGTTGTTATTGGCAGTGTACAGTACCACACACAGCAGATACTCGGTGCAGATACAGGTCCGCTTGAACCTTTTCCAGTGATGTGGGAGAAGCTACAGCAAATTCAAGCAGTCATTGGTAAGATATAGATACATACAGCCGTTCACACCCACATTCACACATGGTCAATTTAAAGTGAACTTACATTTTTATTTTTATTTTTGCAGTGGTAGAAAACTGAAGAGCGTGGAGAAAACAAACAACTTCACAGGGAAAACTTACCACAGAAAATCCAGTGAGAATCGAACCATGATCTTCTAAGGTAAGGCAAGCGATTTAAACACCCTTACACCATGTAGCCTGTAGACCTTAGTGAAGAAAATTATTGACAGGAAAATTGAAACTACAGCTGGACAATAACAACAACCTGGGTGTGTTACAAAACGCAACACTGAGTCGTTTCGCTCCATTGAAAACAAACCTGAAAGTCTGCTAATCTTGTACTGCTTGTGCTTCGACCGAAAATAAGGGGATTTGCCTTAAGGAGGTGGATTAAAGTTGTCCCGGAATCAGGCATTAGCGGAGAAGAATATAAATATGTAAAAGTGCCCTCGAAATTCACATGACCGGTGTTTTAAAAAACCCAAATTCACATGACCGGTGTTTTAAAAAAAAAACAGTACAATTGTGTAAGTAAAACACGTATTGTCCACACTAGTAGCAAACGGATTGTTTTAATTTAGAGGGTAGTTTACAGAGTACGACTTTGTTGGTAAACTCAGCCTTCATGTTTTACCACCCATCTCCTGCAGGGGTTGCTGTGAATGCAGTTTAAAAATTCACTTGTCTTTGCATTGGGTACGTCAGTAAAATATTCTTTCAAATAGAAAAAAGTAATCCCGTGTCCCATTAATTTTTTTACCGTAAGAAGAAGCAAAACTTTTTTTTTTATTTGGGGACTCTGCTATTGCCTACAAAAATTGATTGTGGTACATCTTAATTACAAACTTATATATCCCTAATTTGAAAGCTTCTATATCTAGCTACTCTCGTTTAAAAAATATTAAGCAGTACTATATATATGTAACCGTTGTGTTTTAAGAAAGCTGTCATGCTGCTGTCATCAACGCCTTTATTGATCTAACGGAATTTACATAGTATTTACATAATATTAATTTTCCTTCTGGACACCACCCGAGCCCCTACACATAAAATAAATATATTGTACAGAATTAAATAAAATGTTAAAAACAAGGGCCATAAAGTCAGAAGAAAGAGGGAGATATCAAAAATATATACATCAAGTTTACGCCCAGGGAGGAACAATTATAACTACATAACTATTAACCTCTGTTACATATATATATGGGTATATATGTGTGTGTGTCACTGTGAGGCCTGTGACTTACAAAACTAGGCATCTTTGATGTGCAGAGTGACAACAGTCAGTGGACAAGATGGACACAGTGGTGCAAAGCAGAGCTTAGGACATATTTGGATAACTGTCCAAACACTGAGGCCCTCAGTGACAGTGGGAAAGTGGTTATACCAACAGAGACCACTTGTTGAGCAAGTTTGATAAAGTGGAAGAAATTGGAAAGAGCAGTTCAAAGCAGTGTGATAAAGTCAAAATATGCTAGAAAGAAAAGTGGCTGCATAGACTGAAAAGAATGTTGAAAAAAATTTGAATTCTGTCTGTTTACCTATGGATATTTACTCTGTGGTTATTGTTGACAGAATCTGTTTTTATTATTAACAATAATCATAATCATAATAACATTTTTTCTTATTTAATAATGTCTATGTCATGCCTCCAGTTTCAGCCAGTCTGGAAATACAGAATTGTATTACATTTATTAATATCTCAGATGCAGTATTGTATTACTCTTGCGTCAGGAGGAATTGTTTTTTTTTGTTTTTTTTTTTTTTCATACTTTGAAATTATTTTATTGGTCACCAAGTGTCAATATATGATTATAAATATTGTCATACCTGCAGTCATTTGTACCAAATACTTCTTTTAAATGTACACGTTAATATATACATTATATATATATAAATAGAAGTGGCAGGATATTGTGAAAATAAGAGAACACTAAAAATAAAGGACTGCAACTTTTTAAATGAACAACTAAATTCATGAAGTCCTATTAGCAGGATGTAGCTGCAATTTAAAAACTAAAGACCAAAGCCAGACGTTCAATGTAAATCCAAGCAACCATCATTTTATTAATACGCTTTGATGTCTTTAAACCTTAAAATGATATATATATTTAAAAGAAAATATAATAGTAATGAAGGTCAATGCTGCACAAAAGTATTACCTTTCTATAATGGATCCCATGCTATGATTTACAATTTTCAAGAGGTAGCTACAGGTTATAGACGCTACGTCAACGGTGGTGAACGCCGTACATGCCCATATATGGTCATGGCTACTATGGGTAAGTGTCGGCAAACTGGCGAATGAATTGAGATTCTTGTAGCGGCGCCTTTATTATATATATAATGTGTGGTTTTTAATCTTTTACAAAAGCTCTCCCATCTCGCACGTCGGCGAAAGAAATCGCGATAAAACAAAAATGGCTTCCTCCTTCGTCTTTGCCTTGTCTTTCCATTCATGTACAGGAAGCCCGCCCCCGTGACGTAGGTTTGTTTGTATACATCCCGCCCTGCCGTATAAAAGCAGCACACGCGCACGACCGGGCGGCAAATTTCATCAGCGACTGTTGTTAAAGTGTGCTTTTCTTTCTTCATATTTGGTATTCTCTTATCACATTGTCAACAACAGAAGCCTAAACAAAAGGTAAAACTTAAGATTCTTTGACATTTTTACGATAAACACTTCAGTGTCTATCGTAATAGTAGTGTAGTAACTGATTTTCCGGTTGTAAACGACTGATGCAATCTTCCGCGTGTCACCTCCGTAGTATTGGCGCACTGTTTTTTTCATGTGGAGAATCTAGCGTACTTTGCGTTTATTGTTATTAATTTGTTCGAATAATAATGTTAATGGGTGTCGTTTAAATTTTTTTTAACCATTGTTCTTTGGTCGTGGTGCTGAAATTGTCATTTGAGCGGGGCATCAGCTGATGTAGTCGACCAGGACACGGAAAATGAGTAGAAACAGGTAACCTTAGAACAGAATACCATTATAGGACTGAACTAATCAGCAGTGTCTTGTTTTTTTTCGGTGTCATCCCAATGGAGTTTTTTCTTAAATTAATTTTGGAAAAATGTGAAGCAGTGAGTAATAACCCACGGAGTGGGAGAATGACTAATGTCGCCTTTAATGCCCACAAAAAACGTCGGAAGCGAGACGATTCAAATTAAATCTCAAGATATTTCTGTCTTAAAAACAAATATATGTATAGTTATTTGTGCATATCCATTTATACTAATCACTCCTTTACTCGGTTTTCTTTATGTGGTTATTTATATACAGAATTTATCAGCGTTGTGGATATGATATATTAACTAGACAAGTCCACAGTCTGGTTCATGCCAGTTGTGACAGTTTTATGTTCAGTGCACAATATTTGTATTTTCTTTGTTTTGCAGTGTAATATTTGTATTATTTGTAACATGTTTTAACATTATTTGGCAGACACAAAATTAAAAGATACGTAAGATCGGCATTTGGCAAAATAGTATTAATAGGATTAGTATTAGCACTTGCAGATACATTTTCCATTTCCCACGTTCTGTTTGCTATTCATGGGCACAGACACGGAACAGGTTTGTGCTTATAGTCAGACGTAGTCATACCAGCAGAAACCGGTTAACCGTCGCGTGTGTGAGACTGATGCAACGTTGCATTTTACCTGACTTGTCTCCGGTCACTACCTCCCAGATTCTTAGCGGAGACCCTAAAGCACCAGCCACTAGAACCCTATTATTAGCTACCGCGTCATAATGCTTGCATTATTCCCGGTTACCCTAAATGCGGCGCGTAAGACCACGCGAGAATCTAAACGGAGCCACGTAGCTTAGCTGCCGCGTTTTCGTGTGTGACAGAATGAACAACTCGACTATTATGACCTGCGCTGCTTTCAAGTGAGTGTTTTCAAAAGACAGCCTCACTTATTGCTATGAAATTAGACATACGGTGAAGACGCCCTTTGTTTCCGTGGGGATTTCTTCACTTTACTGCCCCGAACAGCAGGGTGTCACCCATGCTTCAGTTGCATCAGCCGGTGAATTGCAGATACATTTCTCTTTCTAACCCTGGGATGTTTGGGGCTTCAATACAGATGTAAAAGTGACGAACGGTATGTGCAGAAGAATTTAGGAGAAAGAAAAAAGCTTTTCGGTAGAGAATATAATTGGGCTTCTCCAGAAACAATGTGTTTTGTGTCTAAATTCCATTTAATTCTTAAGTATTTGTTTTTTGAAAGTCAGCTATCACCCTTTAGCCATAAAAAAAACTTTAATTTGGTGGCATGCTGGTTAAATGCAGCGTTCTCAAATTTCACGTAATGTTTACGTTTTATGCATCGTTAAACAGACCGAGTTG